CTACGCGGCTGGCGACCCCGGCCGGAATGGTCTCTCTAGACTTTTCTCCAGAGACCTTGGAGGCCAATGGTTTTGGTGGGATAGCGGGCAATGGCGATGATGATGATGATTCGCGCATTCCGATTTCACCTCATGCCGAAACGGGAGACGTGGGCGATTGTTTCTACAACTTTCTCGTACCACAGTTGGCCAGCTGGTTTTCTTTGGGTGATTGGTTCACCGGGGCAGAGCTCTCTGCCTTGGGAATGAACCCAGGCACAATTTTTGATGACGACTCCCAGCGGGATTCGCCCTTGGAAGATTCAGAGTCAGTGGTGGCGTGTTTTTCTGGAATGGCAATGGGGTGGAGTTGGAGCCTGTTTTTGGCCAATGAGTCGGTGGTGCATCAGTCCTCTTTCCCTCGACAATGGGATCAAGATGATATCATCCGAGACAAAGCCCCTCCTCCTCTTGTCCAGCCAGGGCGTCCAGCTGTTGGCATCTATGTCGACAACATCCAAGTTCTGGCGGGCGGGGCGGGTGAGGCTTCAAGTCGGATGTTAGGGATAGCGAACAGGTTCTCACAGTTGGGGATTCCCTATGACATTGACGATGTGCATGACAAGGTCGAAGTTGAAAGCCTAGGCATGAAGTTTGACTTTGCTGGAAGGGTAGCTGCCATGCCCAAACCTCGTCGGACGTGGAGACTCTGGCTGGCGACCCGTTGTCTTTTGAAGAGACGCCGCGTCCATGGCAAAGTTCTACAGGTTTGGTTGGGCCATGTCACACATCATTTTGCTTTGACTAGGTGTTGTATGTCTAGCTTGTCGGCATGTTACAGGTTTGCGGAGGAGCACAAAGGTCACAGAGCTGTTGTTTGGCCGTCTGTCAAGAAGGAGCTGAGACATTGCTTGGGTCTTTTCTTTTTGGTCGAAATGGACCTCAGCGCGCCCACATCACCTGAGGTGCATGTCGGTGACTCAGCTGACTTGGGATACTCTTTGATGACCACTCAAGCCAGCCATGAAGAGATCAGGGCGGAACTCCGCTTCAAAGAAAGATGGCGTTTTATCACCAGTTCTGAACCTGTGCGTAGCTGTCCGCTTCCTCCACCCCAGGGTGAATGTCAAAGTTCGGCCTTCGTCACTGACCCCTTGCAGGAGTTCCACTACATGGGATCCCGCCGCAATGCAGGACTTGGCCGAAGCACTCAATTTGGCAGGTGGTTGGGTGAGCAAGTTAAGGATCCTCAATGGGAACAATGGTTGCGAGAAAGGCATGCCCGTTTTGAAGCAGCTCATAGACCACGCATTTCCTTGATACATGGTCCGGGGGTTCCGCCGGTCGCGTCCACATGGGACACGGCTGACAGATGGCGCCTCTTGGTCGCCAGACCTTGGGATCATCCCTCAGAGCATATAAACGCAAAAGAGCTGAGGGTTTGCGTGATGGGCTTGCGCCGCCTTTGTAGGAGCTCAAGCAACTGCGGAACGGTCGCCTTGTCACTCAGTGACAACCTTGTCAGCTGCCTGGCAGTGGATAAGGGCAGAAGCTCGTCAGGAGCTCTCAACGGCATCCTTCGTCGAGCTGCTGCCTACCAGATGGCTTGTCGGGTGCGCTGGCAGGTTCGTCACATACCGACCGACCGAAACATTGCTGACGGTCCGTCGAGATGGTTTCAGACCAAATCGAAGCTGAAGCATGAGGAGAGGAGCCGGCCGCCTCTGGATGGCCATGTGCTGGTGCCCGATTTTGAGGCAGGGAGATGTCCGTCTTTCTCTTCTACAGTTTCAGCAGAGAGATCTGAGCCCTCACGACGTGGCTTTATCCTTGAATTTTTCTCGGGCACTGCCAGACTCACTAGAGCTTTTGAGGAGAAGGGCCTCGCCACGCTGCCAGACATCGAAGTGGCCAAAGGACACCACTTCAATTTGCTGAGGAGAAAAATGCAGAAGTTCCTTTTGCAGTTCCTTTTGGAGGGAAAAGTGCTTTATGCTCATTTCGGCACACCATGTACTACTTTTTCTAGAGCTCGGCATAACATCAAGAATGTCATGAAAGCTAGGCAGAAGGAAGCTGATGCAGTATCTTTGGCAATTTTTACAGCAAGAGCGATTAGGATCCTCATTAGATGTGGTGGGTACTTCACCCTCGAGAACCCGTTGACCAGCACGCTCTGGGAGTTTCAGCCAATTCGAGACCTGTTCAGATCCAAGGATGTCTTTTTCATCTCTTGGCACATGTGTCAGTATGGGGCTTCTTGCAAGAAGCCAACTGGACTCCTGGGCAACATTCCCGGCCTTTCAGGCCTGGCGAAGAGCTGCGGGGGGTGGTCACCGCCACCAACACCTGCGAGGCTCGGAAAGGGTATGGGATGAGGGTGTTTGGAAGAGTCGCAACCGCACAAAAAGCGCAGGGGCTTATCCCCCTCAACTCTGTCAGCAGTGGGCCTCTCTGGTTCAAGATTCAATAGGTCATCTTTTTCAACTTCCCCATGCCGTGATTCGAGACCAGTCACGACATGTCGAGTGGAGCCTTCAAGAAGCGGCCGTTGCCACCCGACATCGTGTCAAGACTGGCAAAAACGGAGCTGGTGCGCGCCATTTCCACACCGAGAACTCAGAGTTCACTGAGGAGGGGAAGCAGCATCTCAAAAGACACCCGGTCGTCTTCGGCCAACATACCAAGTCAGAAGCTGAAGAGATCCGCAGGGCCAACCAAGGTCAAAAAGATGGCTGTTAGGGTTGACCTGGCGAACAAGCCTTTGCCGGTTCAGCTCCGTCTGAGAGCTCAACGGGTGACCCAGAAAACTTTGAATCGGTATCTTGCTGAGATAGAGTTGTTTAGACACTGGTTGAAGGAATGCAAAATGTCTTGGAGCTCCAAGAAGTTAGACTCTTACGCAACTAGGTATATCACTTTTTTGCAAGAGACTGAAAAACGTGAAGTTCACCAAGCGACTTATTTTGTTTACGGCCTTCAACTTCTTCACTGTGATGTTCCTCGGCAGTTTTTCCTCCCCAATGCCAAGTTAGCCCTGAGCGGGTGGAAACACCAGCAGCCTGGCTCCATGCGACTCCCGGTGCCAGAAGAGGTGGTTTTTGACATGGCCATCTATTTTCTTTCTTTGGCAGAGATCGAGATGGCGATGGCACTAGTCCTTCAGATGCATTGCTATCTTCGTCCCTCTGAATGCCTTGGTTTGACAAAAGAGCACGTTTGCTTTCCTGCTCCTGGCAGATACCGGAAGTGGGGCTTGCTGATCGCTCCTTCCACTCTGGGGCAGCAGACCAAAACTGGAAAATCAGACGACAGTGTGTTGATAGGTGATGTGAAGGGTACCGCTTGGGTTGCCGATGTGTTTGCTTTGTTCATGAAGGGCGTGGAACATTTTCTTTTTCCTTCACTGACTTTGGCCAGCTATGAGACAGCCTGCCACAGAGCATCTCGACATTTGAAGTACCAAGAGGGCGCCGTCACACCCCATGTCATGCGACACACTGGGCCATCCAACGATATTTTCCACAAACGGAGAGACATTCAGGCAGTGCAGAAGCGCGGGCGTTGGGAGGCAAAAGCTTCAGTGCGCCGCTACGAAAAAGCCAGCCTTTTGGTCAAACGCTGGGAGGTGGTTCATGAGTCCCGACGCCATGATGTCCTCGCGACGTCTCAGCATGTGCAATCTCACTTCCGCAGAGCCTTGCGTTAGCTGCGACCGGTCGTTTCTCCCAGAACACAATGTGGAATTTGCAAAGGGGTGGCTGTTTTGTTTTCATACATGTCTGAATGCAGCAGCCAGAGAATATCAGTGGCTGACCTCGGATGATTTTTTCCGAATGGATCATCCTTTGGCATCACACTTTGCTGACTGGGTCTCAAAACATTCAGCACTTCGATGGGCATGCTGCAACAGTTGAATTTGCTGCAGACAGGTGAGTGAAAGTTGAGGAATTGTTACAGTGAAACGTTGTGTAATTCCCATTGAACGGCATGAATCATGCCCGCAAAATTTAATATCCTCAAGGATCCTTTCGTTTTCCCAATGCCAACCCGAAGCCTGCAAAGGGGTGGCTGTTTTGTTTTCATACATGTCTGAATGCAGCAGCCAGAGAATATCAGTGGCTGACCTCGGATGATTTTTTCCGAATGGATCATCCTTTGGCATCACACTTTGCTGACTGGGTCTCAAAACATTCAGCACTTCGATGGGCATGCTGCAACAGTTGAATTTGCTGCAGACAGGTGAGTGAAAGTTGAGGAATTGTATATATAAATGATTGGTGGTTTGGAACATGACTTTTATGACTTTCCATATATTGGGAATAATGAGCCCAACTGACGAACTCATATTTTTCAGAGGGGTAGGTTGAAACCACCAACCAGTAAATGATATTGTTAGATTTATTGAGTCCATTTCAATCCAATTTTCGACCTGCTAAAACTCCAAGTTTTGGTGTTCAACCGCAGTGATGTACCCAGAAACTGGACATCACCGATCTGATCTGTGCTGCCGACGCTTCGCTGCCGCTTCAGAATGACATGATCTAATGACGGGAGGCCGTGACATATCAACGCGACAGCGACACTCAGCAGCTGTCAAAGGTCATGCGAAACAGGCATAAAAGGGAAAAACATGGAAAAACACTAGCATTTTCCACCAGGTTTGTTCCATGTTTCAACTGTCACTCAGGGTTGGTTGTCGGACTTCAAAAAAGCCATGCCGAAACACTTGACAGACAGGTCTCAGCCAGAACAACACGCCCGAATTTCCTGGGCCCGTGGTTACCAGCCGTCGTTGAATTTTGACGGCTGAGGCAAGGTAAACATGGAACTGAACCTGCTTGTTACACCCATCTGTTAATGTGCAATAGATAAAGCCGGGGATCTATTTCGAATTGATAAATATGAGGGGTTCCATAGATGTGGGTACCCCCAAATGGATGGTTTATAATGGAAAATCCATCTATAAATGGATGACTTGGTACCCCTATTTCAGGATACCTCTATGTTGATGGGTGTAATTGGATGATCTGCATCAACATTGGACGGATTGCCAATGATTGCAACAGTCTTGTGGATTACTGTATTTCATCAATTGAAGCCAGAAGAGTACGCAAGCCCCGAAGAAACCCTGCTGAAGCGTATTGGAGATGTTGTTCATCTATGTTCATCCTCCAGCCTGATATCTAATGCGTGATCATGATATTATTACATGTTAATTAATGCTATCATTTTCAACTGCTATTTTGGGGCTAATACCTTCCAATTTACCCATTTGTGGATCACAACAGGCTGGGATTTCCCTAGTTTCGGATAAGTTATTTGGTTGTTGCCTTGGAGTCAGTGATGATGTTCATCGTAGTGTTTTGTTTATTGACAGCCTTATTATTAGGTTGTTCCTGTGATCTAAGTGGGATAAGCAGGGTTGATCCATTTATAAACCCTGTATATATAACTTATAATACGTATATAATGTATATGTTTTTTGACCAGGTAATTGGTATCAATCAATGATGGGTTTGATGATTAGTGGCTATTCCCAGGATACCCTTGGGCCCCCAAGATTTTTGTTGGTCAAACTGTCACTCTTTTGTTGGTTATAAAAGTTATAAATCCACTTAATACATATATATCCAATTAAGATGAACATATTCATTATAATCCCATTCCATGATATTTGATAACAGTTCATCACTGGCTGATGGAGTATCATCCCTGCTGATCGTTTTTGTGGTGAATTTCAGCTTCGTTCCCCATTTCTTGGGGGTTCTCCCAGTGAAAAAAATGGGGTATCTATGGTGACTCTAATCAGTTATGCGGTTCACGGATCCTCCGAATCAATCGGTTGATCAACATTATCCCATATTATGCCTATTTAAGTGGTTTTTTCATGTTTTTTTGCGGGGGTTACCCCAAAATGTTCAGACATACCCTGATCGTAGGGCCCCAATCGTAGTCCCAGCTATTTGCAGGTCATGCCATCCATGCCGGGCATGTCTTGGAAGCCCTTGGTCGCGGTGGCGGCGGGGGCGGCGGCCGTTTTGGTGATGCTGATGCTCTTGGTGAAGTCGGGAACCCCAGGGGATGGTAGTTCATCTCAGTAAGTCAGTAAGTTATAACATGTGATAACCCCAGTTATAAATGGGATAACTGGTTGGTGGTTTGCAACATGAATTTTATGTTTATATTGGGAATGTCATCATCCCAACTGACTTTCATATTTTTCAAAGGGGTTGAAACCACCAACCAGATGGGAGAAGTAGGCTCAATCCATCTCAATCCGCTTCTATCTGACGTTATAACCCACTTACGTTAGAGTTCAGGTTGAGATGTTTTTTTCAGGCGGCAGCGACCCAAACAACGTGCCCCGTGGCGCCAGGCCACGTGTGAACACAATTGAATCGCAGGTGCTTTAAACGTGCAAGATGGGCGGCGAGCAACCTCCAGGTGGAGGCAAGGCAAAGGGAGCAGATACCGATGAGGATTCCTATGCTGCGTTGCAAACATTGACCAGACGAGCTGAAACTCAACCTCAAGGACTGCTGCGTCTTCAGACGCTTGTTGATGTTGTTGAGAAGGGTATGCTTCGCCCGAAGTAGAAGAAGGAGAAGAAGCAGCTTGGAAAGCTGAAGCCACATGCTGGGGATGTCAAGTCAACCAGGCCCCACAGTAATGACCCAAGACGCAAAGATGGATTGAACCAATCAATCTCTGGGAAATCCCTGAACGAGGTTTGGAGGTTTTAACGGGAACATCTATAAATGGTGGATTTTCTACTGCGATGTTTGATTAGCGGAGGGTAACTGCAACTATTGGGATGTGATTCAGATGTCACCACAACAAATGGCACCAGTGAGTCATGAACCATGCTGGAGACGCGGCCAGAAATCCACTGGTAAGATCCGCTGGAGCATTCCAGAATTGGGAGGGCTCAAACCATCCACGGTTTTGCCAAGGAGGATAGTCCCGCTAAAATTGCAGGAAAACCTGCTGGGGAGGGCAGTCATTCATTGAGCCCTTGGTTTCTGACGTGCATCCTGGTCAGTTAGTGGGCACTAACATGAACGAACATGTACTAGATCTATGATACATGAGATTGACCCAAGTTACATATCGGCTACGTCCCAGTTATTGTGAACATACTATAGACTATATATAATTATATACAGCTAATTATTAAATGGGATCCCCAAGTATGTCTTGACCCAGCTCTTTATTTTTGTGGTTTAGTCAATCACATTGCCACCGCTGAACTCTGCAGGGAAGAAGAAGAGGAGGAATCTGGACAGAAGCAGGACTCGGGAAACATCCTGATTTCGCCCTGTGTTATCTTTTTGTTGCTGGTACTTTCAAAACTCTCAACCTTGGGTGTACACACACAAGTATGTATATAATATATATATATATATACACACTATACATACATTGTATATAATTATGTCTAATATAACTATATCGAAACAGCAATTTGATAACTCTCATTGTTTTATCTTAATCCGTTTTGGATAATTTGAGATAGTTTTGAGTCTATATCGCGGAGGGTTATGATATCTCTACTGCCGTCAATCAGAATGAATCGACGTGGCGACGATGGTGTGGTGTGTCTTATCATGCAAATCTAAGGGCCTTCCCCGCAAGTACTCCCACCACCTCACTTCACAAGTGTTGATTGTGTTGAACAATCCCTTACTGAGCCCCTTGCATATCCAGGAAATAGGATGAAGGGAACGGGAGAATGTGTATACAGGACACCCCCACTTTTTATTGTAAAAAACTGGTTTGCCTCCAAACATGTGCCTGAAACCAACCCACCAACACTCATATTAAATTATTAAATGGATATTTCATATAGTCTAAGAAGTCGATTTTCTGAATTGCTATTGGATATTAATCCCGTTTTTGTTTCCAGTTCTTTCTCATTACCCTCTGGTAATTTAACATAGCTATTGAAAATGGTGATTTATAGTGGATTTTCCCATTAAAAATGGTGATTTTCCATAGTTTTTTGTATGTTTACCAGAGGGTATATCGTTGCCGTGTTGTTCTTATTGTTCGACATTATCCCCCCCGTCGGTTGATTGACCCAAAGTCTTCCACTGGAACCATCACCACTGGACCTGTTTTTGCGTCGTGAGGACCAGAAAAAGGTCTTGCATGAAATCCTCAAAGAACTTGTAGTCGCTCGGCTTTCTCTCAGGTTTTCGTGGATAGCTGCAGGATATAATATATATGATATATGGTGTTTATTTTCTTGCTATAATATGGTACAATCTGGTTTAGTTATTACCAGTGCTTGGGTTTTCCTGGTATTTGGCCGTCGAAAGTAGAGGTTTAAACCAGTCAAACTGATTTGAGCATCTAAAATCTGGATTTATATAAGCCAAAATTCTATGGAAACCGTGGATGATCATTTTCTTTATACTGTTTTCTCTTGCTATAAAGGGGGACGGATCCTAACCAGCGAAATGACTTCATTAGAATTTAACCATCAAAATGGGGATTTACCCAGCAATACCGTATCAATCACAGGCATAGATTAGTATATCATGAACTGTCTATGGGATCTTAAAAGCATTTAAAAGCAACATATATGTTTAATCAACCATGAGAATTAAATTGGTAGTCTTGTTCTTGTCACCATGCTTGCTGCATAAAATCACACTGTTAAAATTCTTGTTACGGGGGTCATGTGTCTTTGGGGTTGACGGTGTCTGAATGGGAATGGGTTGTTCCATCCCCATTAAAATCCACCTGAATCCAATGATGTTTCCAGCGCTCAGACGCCACTGTGGTCTGAAATATCAGAGTGAACCATGCGCCATGTATGGAAAATTCTAGCATTTTGGCCCCACAACTGTAGCATTCCATGTTGGGGGATTCAAAACAATAGGACAAACATGGGCTTCTTGTTGGCTTTACTGCAATCATGGCATGTTATCTTCCTTGAGAGTTATTGGATTATAGCTCCTGCAACTAAGGTTGTTATATAATATATATATAATATAATATGATGTATATATATATATTATGTATTATATCACTTACATGGGGTTATAAGCCGGTTATAACTGGTTTATAGGGCTATACCCAGCTTTCTGTTTTTCCAAGGCCCTCGCCCGGCCCAGGACGTGGAAGACTGTGCCAAACGCGCTGTGGACGAAGCTCGACAGCGTGGTGTCTATGTGTTGACGGGGGAATGTACTGGGAATGATTCCGAAGATGCCTTATTTTTGGGGCATCCTTAATGCAAATCCAAGTTTCCTGAATGAATATATCACTGGTTGGTGGAACATGAGTTTTATGACTTCCCCATCATATTGGGAAGAATAATCCCAACTGACGAACTCATATTTTTCAGAGGGGTAGGTCAACCACCAACCAGAGTTTTATCAGAAGTTCAAGGAGCCACGGCCGGTTTGAGACCTGATGTTCTTGTTGGATCTGGTGCAGCGACATCTCTCAGGGTGCATTTCAATCGACCCGATCCCACCCGTTCGGGGGTGCTGCTTTAAAGACCTCCGATGACAGCAGCCAGCTCAACCACTGGCTTATGGGGGTCCCAGTCATTGACTGCTTCTCACCCTCACCTTCCAGAATTGGAAGGGATGTGTTGCAGGAAAACCCTATCGGTACCCTAAGTTTCTTGGTAAGACAAAACATGGGTATCCCTCACAGATGTTCCCAGGTTGAGAAATCACCCCGCCCACGGGTCCAAAACCTGAGGCAATGGTCAAGGAGCAGATGGACGGCAAGGACCGGGACTGGGCGGAGCAGGCTGAGCCGAAGATGGCTTAAACCATGATGGAACCAGCCAAAATGATCATTTAGTCAGGAATCCAGGAGGGGCCTTGAGCATATAGCATGATGTACCACAATGGTGACACCACTAGAGATTCCAGCATTGGCATATGGCACCTCCAGCTGGTGGATTCCATTGATATAGCATGAGTAGCCTCCAATAAACGATATAATTTGGTAAATTCCGGTTCCAGAATAGTGATCAATTGATATCAATTGAACCTTTTCGGCAAGGTTTTGGGGATGACTATATATCATTATATACTTACAGATATTTTGTATATGCACCTGTAAGCGTAGCATGGTTGTTCTACAGGTTTTGCAGGATTTTGTAAAATGTGTTGTGAATGAGACATACAATAGACAAGAAACTGGGGCATACATGGGTTTGTCAAGCAGGAATGCTGTTTCATGGATTCACATTTATTTATATTTCTGATGTGTGGGATCTCAAGCAACAGATGATTGGGACCATAGACTTCAGCGGCTTAAGGGTGTGGCCCAAGGAATCTCAAAGATACGAACCTATTCTCCAACCCTAGTCAGGCTTCCTCCATGACAAAGTTGACTTGCGAAGACACCATGATCAACCCCTGAGGAGTTGGCGTTTGATGAGGCCTATGAGCGGGTCGCAAAGTCTCTTGGTGGCCACGCATATCCAAGCGGTTCCGGTGGCATGCCATGAGGCTGGCACTAAGTTGAATATGTTTTGTCATGTTCTATCAGTTCTACCTACCGTTTCAATGATTAAAGCATGGTTGATGCCGGTATAGGAGGAGAAGTTGTTCGACACTGTTCAAGTTGGACTCGTGTTGGTCAAATCAAGTTTTACGGACACAGTTGTTTATATGTATACAGTATACATCTTCAACAACTCCTACTGTACAGATACCTTATATACTTATATATGTTCAACAAGTCCTACTGTAGGGCAGTCGTTGCATGTTCTTGCCCCAAGCCAAGATCACTACTTGTATCTAAACGAGGCAGATCACACCACGTTTTTTTTAAACTTTGCCCAAAGGTGTGGATTGTGAGTTTTGAAGCCTAAAACTCATAGGAACAAGCTGTTCAAACTCATTTTGGGGCTTTCCTATGACCTCTTCCTATCTACTGGTGTAGCTGGACCCAACTGGGACCCAACTGGGACGTTCTGTGCGTCCCGGATCGGTCCTTGGCCGAGGTTAGACTTGTACGATCCATTGGAGAAACGAAGGATGGGCGTCCAGGAGTTTGAGGCCATGGCATCTCGGTGAGCCAACGTAGCGACGTAGAGTGGAGGATGACTGTCACTGGCGTTTTTGAGATATGTTAAATCAGTATGATTGGGTTTTAAGCCAAAACATACATGATATATATATAGTTATAATATATATATATATATATATATAATATGATATGTATATATCTCTATATATATAATTATATGGCTATGAATTAATATGTTTAAATATCATTTGTTGGGAGATGAACATCCATAAATCCCAGCTATTTTGATGTTGGACGACTGACTTCCCGCTTTCTCCCGTGCCAAGTGACTTTTGGGCCGCTTGGATTCATGGCCATTTTTCTATGGGAAATGAAACTGATGATGATGATGATGATGATGATGATGATGATGATGGTGTATCTATGGTTATCAATGGTTATTACTGGATATTAATGGATATATATTATTAATGCATGATGATGATGGTTTATCAATGGTTATCAATGGCTATTACTGGATATTAATGGATATTAATGGATATTAATGCATATTAATGGATATTAATGGATAGTAATGGATATTAATGGATGATGATGATGATGATGATGATGATGATGATGATGATGATGGATTGTCAATGGTTATCAATGGTTATTACTGGATATTAATGGATATTAATGGATGATGATGATGATGATGATGATGATGATGATGATGAACTGATGAATTGGTGAATTGATGATCATGATGTTTAGTTTCAATGGGTTGTGGGGCAAGACATGGTGAGACCCAAATCTGTATCTTTGTTTTGCTTTTCCTATTTGGATATCCTTGGATAAGGGAGTGGTATTGACCCACAGAAGTAGGCAATGTTTGGTGTTCAACCATCCCAAAATTAAAATGATGGTCGACACATGTAATACATATTTATATTCGTATCATCGTATCTAAATATAGATATCTATCTATACTATATACATCATTATACATTATATATATATACATAATACATACACCTTTATCACCAACAAATCTTGCCATCTTGCAGCCCAGGACTTTTAAGTCAGCATCATTCACCTCACCAAACCTACAAAACGCGTGTTTCAGTGCCAGCGCTAAGGCAATGTCAGGGCAAGACGATCCGTTCGTGATGGAGCAAATGGCCAGATTATCAGGCGCCAAGTGGTGGCTGCTAGGGGAACTCTATGATACCCCAAAAAGTTAAGATAGAAAATCCATGGAAAAACATATGGAACATCTTTCTGGAACAAAAATGGAAAAATCGATTTCCAAACAAATGATGAGTGAATGAGATTGAATATGTTGCATCATGATCCATCTGTTTTGGGGTTACTATACTTCTATACTTGCATAGTGGGACGTAGCGGGGTTGTACTCTGCGGTAAAAAAACGTAAAGAGAAATTACCCTCTGGTAAACTAACAGTTCGCGATTGAACATGGCCATTTATAGTGGATTTACCCATTAAAAATCGTGATTTTCCGCTATGTAAACGTTTACCAGAGGGTACATTATTGCTGAGAAAGATTGACAGTAGAGGCTCAATGGATAGTCAGATGGGCTCCGCAACAAAATTTTGGGGATTGGTCAAGGCCAACTGAACAAAACGATTGGCGATTGGCGATGTAGCAACCTAAGGCTGGTTGGTGGTTTCAAACATGAATTTTATTTTCCATATATGGGATGTCATCCTTCCCATTGACGAACTCCATCATTTTTCAAGATGGTTATTGCACCACCAACCAGTATGGGTGGGAAGGGAGATGGAAATCTGTGATTTTTCTAAATTCAGATGAATGAGTGGACGCTTAAATTCGTTACCACTGTACTACTGTAGTTGCCGTGCTGTGAACTAGCCTTCAAAGTCTTCATATGTCACCATTTATAGATGATTTTCTCAGCAAATACTGTATCCCACGAAAATAGTCTTCTAGACTATTCTAGACTCATATTAATTCTTTTTATTGCTGATTTGTGATAAATATCCCACTGAGTATCATTTGAACACCAACAATGCTTTGTAAATCCCATTGAATCATATTTAATCCCCATTGTCCAAGTGATGAACTCGCCTCCTCGACAGGTGGAGCAGCCCTGGAAACTGGTCGAGTGCAACATCTGGATGTGCCCAAAATCATTGAGCTGAAGGCGACCCGCTGCGACTGAAGATTTTTTACGGTGGAAAGTATGGTATGGCCATGTTTTTAATGGGGAAGATGAGCTTCAAACATGGTTTAAACCATCAAATTTTTGAATATGTTTTTAATGGGAATATCACCAACTAGTGGGTAATAGTGGGTGACCTTGGGATCACGATATAAATTGCTATACTCGGTCATTTTACCATGGGTCTTATTGCCTATACTGCACCCTTCTTTCAAGAAGTCTGCACACGTGTGATGTGCCGGGAAAACCACCCCGAACAAGCAGCTTCTGTGTTGAACTTTGAGATCTTTGAGCACTTATTCATCTCTACGTATTTCATCGTATTTCTACCATTTATCTGGTGAAATGAAAGAAATAGTCTTACGGCATACCTCCTTTTGTCGAAAACAACATGTTTAGCTTGCCAAGCGAGGTAGGAACACACTGAGAGGTGAGGCCCCTTCCACGGCTCATTGTGGGTTCATCTGAAGGGTACACCCATGGTAGACCCAAATTTGTTGGTTCATCATCATTCAACATGATCGGATGAGATCGGATGTCCGTTTGTGGTACTTGTCCGTATCTGCAGTATCCCCACTCTCAGACAGACCTTCAGAGCCATCTTGTTATCCTTTCAAACACCCCTCAGATCTAGTGAAATCTTCGTTCAAGGGTGGCTCATGTTGGCCTTTTCCTGACCGCGGTGAACCCAACGCCCATCAACGCCAGGGATTTGCAGTGGATGAGCTTGCGCGAGAAGTGATGGAATTCATGAAGAAACCGGGCGCGTCACTTGCCGAGGGTCGTCGTTGAAGCTGAGCTGGGATCGGAGATGACAGGGGGCAAGACAATTAGTCGATAGATATGGGTATGGGTCAATACCTATTAATACCATTTTTAGTGGGATGAACATCCATTTACCAGCTATTTTGATGTTCACCAGGGGATATAGGGTTTTGACCCATAACCATATAAGCACCACATGTTTGGAGACCAGGATATTTTGGGATCGGAACTTCACCGCCAGGCATGGTAAACCATCAGGGTCATCACTGTGGATCATTTCCAGGGAGTCATTGGAAAAGGGGAAAGGAATTCGTCGTTTTGAAGCAACAACCCGATATGCTCCATGAATGGGGTATCTTATAGTATCTTCCCAATGTTCGGGTCATTTTGAGGTTCACCCTTAAGACGTCTGATGCCGACACAAGGCTCCAGCGCACACCAAGACCTTCGATCAGTGGGTATTGCGTCTCTCCAGTGCCAGGCACTTTGATCTCCTCGGAGACTATAGATTCCATCAACAGAGACCTGGAGATGTGCGGCCTTGTGAGTGACGAGTCACGAGATCACAAGTCCTCTTGAAATCAAAGAGGCACGCCGCATGGCGCTGCGGAGATTTATGGGGTTTCCTTCCCCGCTCAACTTCGTGGAGTACTGCCCAGGAATGCTCACCAAGCTGGCGCTGGTCCATGCCAGCGATCTAGGCCGTATGCCATCTGATCTGTGAGGTGTCATTTCAAGGCATCTGCTGCTGAACTGATACAGGAATTGTTTTTATGGCAGTTACAATCTAGATATGCCTATTACGGGAGGAAAAACATGAAAACTCACAGATACATTTAGCATAGCGAGATCGCATTGTGTAGGATCTATGATTCTATGATCGATGTCATGTAATTGGCTGAACCAACAACAGGATTTGTGGTTCTTATGACACCAGGCTACCTCCAAACCCCATGGTTTATCAGAAATGTTCCCCAGTCGTTGGCCAATTCGTAGAAGTCAATGACTCCAAAGCGATGGATCCAACGGGTATGGATCAAGAAAAAGTTGGCACCCTAATTTCGACGGTTTTTTCAAACAACGCATCAATACCCATATGCTCCATGTATGGAATATTTACCAACATTTACCCCATAAATGACCCAAATGTAGGTAAATATACCACACATGGAGCACATGGGATACAAAACATGAACAAAATCTGTGGTAACAGCTGGTAAGGTTTGAAGTTTCGACCCATAATTACGACCACCCTGAGGCCATGGGAAACCCATGAATCCTATTCCCTTCACAATAAATAGCCTCTGGTTATGACCAACATAGCCATGGTATAGATGGCCCATAGAAATAGATTAAATAGATGGTTTACCTATTAAAAATGGTGATTTTTCATGGCTATGTTAGTCATAACCAGAGGGTACCAGCAATTGTTCCGGCCCCTGCATAGATCCAATTCTAAGCCAGGATTTCGGTGATTTAAAGGACAATAGCTGGCCGGGCGAGCGTTTTTTCCACATTTTGGACACCAGGTCACAAAAGGACTTCAAGAATGTGACCATCGCATTGAAGGCGCCAGGGGCCAGGGGCTAGTGTGATCAGTTTTTTATTTTGACAATTTTCATGGCACAATTGATACATTTTGAGGGCACAATCCTGTGTAAAATCCCATGAAATCCCTGTCATCCATCAGCTCGAAACACACCAAAATGCTGTGGATGTTCAGAACCGCCTGGTTCTTCGGTAAATGCTCCGTTGGCGAATATTTTTTCTCCAGCGGCGATTCTCCGTATGCTGTGTATATGTACAGTAAATTGATGTAAATTGTGTAGTAGTTACACATCATATTATGTGTTACACACATATATTATACAATGTGAGGCCCCCCAGTTATAAGTTGGTCTATAAGCCCCAGTAACTATAGTTATAACTACCATAAACCATAGTTATTGGAGTTATAAACCAACTTAGGGCCTCACATTGTAGATTATTGTAGTATTAATGTATGTACTGTAATCAAAAGCCTTGGATCATTTGACACAAGTTAGGGCTCTTTAGGGGATGGGCCCTGGACGGATCAAGTACAAGTTTCATCAAAGATCTTCAATGTTTCACTTCCTTTTCCACCGATCTTTTTTTCCTGGGTGCACGATGCTGCACGTAGTATGATTTTGTCGCTGATGTATAGTTCATTGGTTGCCATAAATGGAGTATCAGCTCCAGGGTCAGCTGTACCTTTTGCGGATTTATACATAAATCTATTTGGATATGGATGCATGGGTGATATGTATATCCCATAGGATCCATGTATGCTACATATGGTAACATTTACCATCAATATACCCCATTCATGTTAGCATATATACCATACATGGATCCTATGGGTATTGATTGTATCGTTCGGATGCAAATCTAGAAACCCAAAGTTCCATTAATGCACCAAACTGGTCCGGTGAAGATTTGAAGCACCAGAGACGCAGCAATGAAGATGGCCACACCAAGATGACCTTGAAGTGAAATGTTGGTAGATGAGGTACCCTCTGGTAATTTAACATAGCTATTGAAAATGACCATTTATAGTGGATTTTCCCATTAAAAATGGTGATTTTCCATAGCTATGTTGGTTTACCAGAGGGTACATTTCCTGATGATATTCTGCAATTCTTGAGGATTCGCCAACTGGAAGTTTCAGGAAATCATTCTCGTTAATTCTCGTTCCTGGTTTTCTATGTGATATATTGATGTCTTATCTCGGTGTAGCTTCTCTGGTCTCTTGCTACATCTACCCCCACGGAAATGAACTAGCAATAGTTACCAATGGATCCCATAATCACTTCAGCTCTTACTCCATCTACGGTAGAACATATCTACTTGCTTGTGTTTCTCCTTGGGGACAAATAGCATGCACAAGAAACATGGAACATACCGGTCAGGATTCAGCAACAGAATGCCATGTTTACTTCCAGGGTTGTTAGTTGTAGTCATTTGCTGGTAGGTGACGATCCCGTGCAATGGTTGTTTTGTAAAAATAGGATCATTTCCGTCATCTTGCCTCACTTACGTGATCCCTGAAGCGACTCATTGGTTCGTAACTGTACAGGTGGACGACTGGATAACGCTCGTCGTTCAGATACTTATCAAGCCCCAATCAAGCACATGTATGATATATTGTATACATACTTCTATGTGCATTAATATACAATAATATACATGATAACAGGTGTGTTTTTAATTGCTTTTATGAAGCTTGGACAACCCCAAATGGCAACTTGAAATGGTGGACATGTTGTCTTATTTTTTGCGAATGCTTCACTTTCAGACACACTCACATGCATCCCTACTAAGTCGGGCCATGGAGTGAGTCAAGTGGTTAATTTCATGGCTTGTATTGCCTTATAATGTTCGTAAAGCAATGATCAACCCATATAAATTGATGACCCATAAAAATGGTAAAAATGGGGATGGTGGATCCTATTGTTTTACTGACTTTGTATGGCAATATAATATAACCCAATGAATGAGTTAACCCAGTCATATATGGCACTATATAACCATATATAACCAAATTATGTGGTTTACTAACATTGAATGGCTTAATAGCTCATATTTATTGATCTTATGGGTTATATTGCCTTGTATATGGCTTATACCGACTTACAACCCAGTCATTGATCAGTCAATGACTCAACCCCGCCTTGGCCGCTCTTCATCAGGCGTTGGTGCATGCGAAGGTGGAGAAGACGCACGGCGTGTCGGCCGAAGATGTGGAGGTGGGCCACGCCGGCGGGGACCTTTTTTTGGAACAACGGGTGGATGTAAGGTCTTATAGCAACCCCCAGAAAGATAGGAGTTAAGGTTAAGGTAAGTTTTCTGAATTTTCCAAATTTTGATACATGCTATATATTTTGATATTGTGGGGGGATATCACTATGTATGTAGTTGGATACATCATTTTGTAACGTATTTATGCTATTACATATGAATACACACACACATATATAGATACATATATATATATACACATATGATTATATAGTATATAGTATATAATACATCTGTATCCACAGTAACATTTGCTTATACACTACATTTTGTTTTATTTTCATATTATATAATTGTATATATATATATATATGCTCAGCCCCCCAGCAACCCCCCAAAAGCCAACAACATACCACCCTTCCAGATTTGAAGATGCAGAAATAAACATTGGCAAGATGGGAAGAAACACGTTTTCAAAGCATTTGATTTGAAGACGAACGTTGTTACAGGAAAAGACAATATATTATATTCCCTTAAATAAGAAACACTATTCTTGCAAGAAAATTATCATGTGTGGAAGGATGCAATACATGCTTTAATGAAGCTCAGCCTTCTTCTCATTTCTATTGTATGACCATGGTTTTCTGTTTTTTGATAATGTAGAGGTAACGGAGTAAGAATAATGCGTTGATCAACATATTTTAAATACAATGACTATACCTTTACTGCAGCTTCAATATGCCCTTAATATACCATTCTATTGACTATGAAAGTATCTTCAAGATACCTTTAATATGTATTTTAAGTAATTACAATGCAATACACCTTCAATGGTTTATATGCAATCTAATATATCTTTAGCATACCTTTATGTAAATACAAATTTATTGGCAATGTTCCTGCCTCTTATATACCTTTAGGATACCTTTAATATACCTTTGATATAACTTTTAGATACCATCCAATACATCTATACTATACCTTTAAGAGACAATTGAATATACCTTTAGTATATCATTTGATATACCTAAAATCTTCCTTTGATATACCATTTACTTGACCTTGAAAATAACTTTAGTATGCCTTGACGATACCTTCAATACATATACCTTTATATAATATACCTTGAGTGTACCAATTAACAATACATGGCACTACCTTGAATATATATATATATAGTATACCTTTAACATATCTTTCACATACATTAGTATATGTATACAAGATCTTTTGATATTCCTTTTGAAATGCTTTTGATAGACTATGTTATATACCTTGAGTGTATCATTTAATATACCATGAATATACCATTGGTTTTTCAATATACCTTCAATATACCATTTTATTGACTATGACAACATGCTTATTATTGATATACCTTCCATATACCTTAAAAAACCATCTAATACACCTTGACAATACCATTTAATATACGTATCTTTAATACACCGTTTGATATAGCATTAGTAAAAAGTATACCTTTATTAATACTTTAATATACCTATAATATACCTTCAGCATATTGCATACATACAACCATGACCTGCTTATTTCAAAATAGCCAAACCTGATAGGACACCAAAAACGACAAAACTTTGAGGATAATGTTTGGTTTTGACTCAAAAGATGTTGTTTGTTTGTTTTCCCTAGCTGTTTTTTTTTTATATATTTTGTGGTTTCAAAAGCCAAAAAACAAAAAAACACATTGAGTTTGTGTGGTTTTTTTTGCAAACAAGTTATCAACCAATACCTCAGAAAAAAAAAACTTTTTATGTCGCTTTTGTTGTTTTGGTTTTAATGTGGTTTCAAAAGTTTGATAGGATTTTTGCAAAAAAAACAATCAACTCAAGGTTGTAACTACTGGTTATTTAACATAGCCATGGAAAATCACCTTATTTTTAAGTTCAGTAAACCATCTATTTCTATGGGCCATGGCTTCCATGGCGGCCTCGACCGCTAAAGCGCGACAGGCGGCCTGCATGATGAGGCAAGGTGAGCTCTTCACCAATCAAGTGCCTGGACGGACTGCCTGGATTGCACTATGAGATATATGTTATATACATGGTATATTTTTTTTGGAATATATGGGATATATAAGATAGCTAGGATATATATATATACGGCATTTCCAATGATATCATTTTAAGTGGCTGGATTACCCTCCAGTTATTTCAAACGTGGCTGGCTGGGAAATCTCCAATAAATGGATACTTGAATGGGAACATAATCTACCCTATGGTAAACAAACATAACTTTTGAAAATGGCAATTTATAGTTGATTTACCCATAAAAAATAGTGATTTTCCATAGTTATGTTAGTTTACCAGAGGGTATAAACAATGGATTGTCCACTGCCACGTCTGATTACCGGACCGGAGGGTTTGTTTACAAAGACCTCACTGCGACCGAGCCCTGGAAATTCTGGGAATTGGGCCTAAGGGAATCATCCCGAAGTGGCCAAACTCATTCATCCAGGTTTTGGCTTTTAAGATGTTTTACCCTCTGGTAAACTAACATAGCGAACTGGAAAATCACAATTTTTCATAGGACAATTCACTATTTCTATGGCCATTTTCAATAGCTATGTTAAATTACCAGGGGGTAAGCATCAGAATTGGGGATAATCAGGGCAATATGTTCTCACAGCGACACCATCATGAGATTGGACTCTGGAGACGGTGTTTGAAAATGGTCGATAGCCAAACGGAACATGCGGTGATTGACCAGGTTGCTTCGTTTGGCACACCAGTGACAAAGCCAGTGTCGGACTGGGGAAATTAGGTATATTTTGTGACCTCAGGAAAAAAAGGACATATTTGTACAACATTATAGGCTGTCCAAACAAAACTGAGATACTGTCATGTGTCTTTGTTTCTGAACAAATATGAAATGATGATGCTGCAGCATGGGACGTTTCAAAGAAACTTGTGGATATTTTACTGATGCTGGATATAGCCAGCAGGGAATAAACAGCAGCAACAACCAAGAGAAAGTCCGGCTGTTCGCACATTACCATGAAGGAAATCAGAACTAGTCCATTCCCCAATATTACATGCCCTGTTTTAGTATTCGATCTAGTCATTTCGGAAGCCCATATACTGTATAGGGTATTTAATATTGAGGGGTACATCAGGCTGATAAAGGAAGGAGCCACCCGCCGCCCTGAGGCTTTTTTGGAGGTCATCAGGAAACAACAGCTCCCTGACTTATTCAGCCGTATGGGTCTCTTACAACATGGGGTATAATTACACATAGAGAACATGATGGTGAACCAGTGGATTTACGGGTACTTGCATCCTATTTGCGACAAACCCATATAGTTGTGGCATGTGGCTATACATCTGTCAACATAAGGTATTGCCAGAATGAATGGTAAGAGATACCAACTTCAGTGCTGTGACTGAGGCAAACGATGCAGCTTTTGGTGAGTCTCTTGGCGAGGTGGTTCATCGTAGAAACCATAAGGGACGGAGTCTAACCATTGGAAAATGCTGGTTTATTGGGATTTGAAAGGGATTTTGCCATAAAGATTTGGTGATTTAACACTAAACCACTTTTTATAGGGCTGTATTTCATATTGGGGCCTATTAGGGGGAAGGGATGAGTGGAAACAAAATCCATGGAACTAGGTTTCCCGGTAGCAAATTTGCCTTTTTGATGTGGTTTTTCCTGAGAATGCAGGTACTCCAAAATTATCCAATTTAGTTCTGATATGAGGAAATAGTCGTTTTGGGTTACCCCGATTCTATAACACCCCATATTACCAAAACATAACACAATTATATCAACCCAAAATAGATCAAACAAGTATAGGTCAGCAGGTTACCACTAGTTTAGTCGTTTTTTTTTCCAATCTATCATCTATCTCTATTTTTTTTGGGTGCTTTATGTACGTATCCTCTAAATACAAGTAACCTAGTTTTTTTTAATATAAATTGGCTGTATCAAGTGATATCCCATGTCACGTCCCATTATCTCCGATAAATGTTTCCCCATGTTGAAAATGTATCTCCCCAATTAAATCCGAAATCTGAAAGCCTCCATTTTGCCAGGGTTCAACATGAAATCCCTCCACTATCGCGCGGTCTGGATCCACTAAGGCAGTACCATGTCGCAGATGTCGCAGCCCGCTGATCCCGGGGGCGATCTCGACTGATCCCAGCGAAAAGACATCCATGTTGTGTGGATATGATATACCCTCTGGTCATTTAACCTAGCCATGGAAAATTGCCCATAGAAATAGATGGTTTACCTATTGAAAATGATGATTTTTCATGGCTATGTTAAATAGCCAGCTGGTATATATATATATAAATATCCAGATGGTATATATATATATATATACATACCATGATCAACAAATTGACATGCTATCTAGGCTATCTATCTATATCATCTATGACATCTCAAACTATAGTCGAGGATATCATGAAATGAAATGTAAAAACACATCCATCCGTAGGCAATTGGTGCCTCCTCAGTTTTGTTTGTTGGTTTCTAAACCCCATGAACTAGCTCGTTACATCTACCATAAACCATAGGAAATTGATAGTGGCGAATCACCGGCTACCTGGGATCGAAAAATCGTCGCAGCGAGAGCGGAGACTCCGCAACTCAGAGTAACAAAAAGAGTGCCCCGCAACGCGAAGTTGCGGTTGGGTGGGAAGGTCATGCCTCGAGCCTCGAAGTAGTGCAGATGGGTCAACAAATATATATTTAATATATATATATATATACATATATCCGTATATATAGATTAAATTATATATATATAATGATAATATATATATAATATTGTATATGGGTGGTTCTTAAGTCATGAGGGATCCCCAAGGCTTTCAAATGTTAATACTAAAATAATCAAATAAAGTGGATAATTTGGGTGTACCACTGTACCACCTATTTCAGGACACCATCAAGCTTGGGGACCTCGTTTTTCCGCAACGCATCAACTAAGCGTATATATAGTGTCTGGTGGTCCCCGAGATGGTCATGGTTCCTATATGTATATGTAAGTTATATATACTGTATATATATATATATATAGCATACATATAATGTATCTATATATATATATATATATATGTATATTATACCCGATATGGATGGCAATGATACCATGGACATCCATGGACCAAAAAGGGCCAAAAGGCCATTTTGCGATCATAGAGATTGAATTTTTGTAGGGCCGCAGATACAAACTTCTGAGTGCCTAAAGTAAAACAAAAAAAACAAATCATGTATACAGCTGTATGTACATATACAGCCCTATGGATCCAAGTACCTTCTCAGGAAGTGTTTGGGGTATAATTTGCTATAATTTGGAGGGTTTTTTGTACCTTCTTAGACAGTGTTTGGATCCATAGGGCAGTATATAATAGTCTATGGAGAATGTGAGAGACATCGAGGGCTCCCCTCGCAGGTTCCCTTGCGCCGCAGGCTGGGAGATGCACTTGGCGGGTTGGGATGACTACGATGGTTCATATGGTTAATATATGGTTAATATATGGTCAATATATGGTTAATATATGGTTAATATATGGTTATATAAGAATAGTTAAGTTGATAATGGTCAACGTATATGGTTAAGAATGGATATAGCCATGGTAAGAAGGGGTTATAACTAACATGATATAACCATTTTATGGGTACTGGAATGTACTGGATATTTAAGTTCACCTCCACTTGGTTCACTGGAATCCCCTCCAGTAGTCAAATGTGGCGCGGAAATCCCCGAACTAAATGGAGGCTCTAGTGAGATAAGTATCTATATAAATGGGGGATTTCCCATTGCTACGTTTGATTACCAGAGGGCATGTGATTGATGGGATTGATGGGATTGAGAGTGACTAGAATCTGGAATTTAATTGAGTAAGTCATCGCACTAAATGGGCCATTTTCCATAGTCATGTTGAGTAACTAGAGGGTGCTGGGATTGATGGGATTGATGACCATTGTGGTATTCCCAAGACCGTTTCAGACAAGATTGGGGATGGTTTATGATTGGGTTTACCGTTTACCGTTTACCACATTACTGGGATTGATAGGACCCTAGGAGAAGGACTTCCCAAGTTTTCAACCAAATTCAGTGATAAGATGATTCTACGGGGATTACGAAGGGATTACGAGGACATAATGCCAAGTTGAGGATTTTTCATTGATGACGTTTGGGATGGGTATAATCTGGATCAACTACACAGAGATAAGGGCTTCTACCCCATTCATATAGTACCCTATTTTAAGCCAGGCGCCCGCAAGGTGGGCTAACGGTTATGACCAGTTTCTACATGGGAGGCCCTAAAGGCTTTTTCTGGAAATAACCATAACCAGCAACATCACAGTGAACCCCCATGTTTAATGGTTAAACCCACCACATGACCATCAGCAAAAAATGTGTCAATCCCTTCCACTCCAGATCTTTCCAGGCGGAAGCTCCTCCGGCAAAAAGTCTCAGCGGTTGATGGTGCATGGGGACAAATCATAGTGTATGGGTAGTTAAGAATGAACGCATGGTTAGCTGGTTCATGTTTACTGAAAGTAGAATTTGCAGTAAGTCATGAAAGGTTCATTTTACGCATCACCAACATCAGCGGTTTCAAACTCAACTTGGTTGACACGTATCGTCACGTGGGATGTCGTGTGAAATCACAAGAAGCATGGCATGTTTTATCTAGCGCATCGCAAGGCAATGCCTATCTGATGTTTACTATGTTTACTCACATACTGTGTGTGTGCAGACAGGTAAAGGTCAAATTTCAACACTACCCACAATTTAATGGGTTGCCTAAAACACACCATGTTTAAACAAATTCTTGTTTATGTTTCGCACATGGTTCAACCAATTCTTGGAGCAACCCTCCCAACCCCATTTTTGTTCCACTCATTTCGTCGCTTGTGGCCTGAGGTTCCTCCAGAGCCTGATACTCCGTTCCCTGCAACTTGCTGGAGACCAGTGAACTTTGGTGATGGATGTGATGGGGCCAGTGATTCGATGTTTGTTGGTTTATAAACCCCAGTCAAGCAATAGCAAAATGGTGATTCTCCATAGCAAACTGTTAGTTGACCAGAGGCTAATCCATTCACATCCATTAACTAGTTCGTTATATCTACCATAAAATCATAGAATTCAGCCACTTTTCTAAGGCGTTTCTGAACGCGATCTTGGAGGGGCCCATCTGGTCATTTAACATACCCTCTGGTAATTTAACATTGCCATTTTATAGGTGATTTACCTATTTAAAATGGAGATTTTCCATAGCTACGTTAAGTTTACCAGAGGGTATATCTATGGCTATGGAAACCATGGCCCATGTAGTTCGATGATGTATGATGATTTACCTGTATAAAATGGTGATGTTCTATAGCTGCGTCAAATGAATAGAGGGTACATAAATCATAGGAAATTTAGGATTTACCATGTTCATGAGGGATATTCATATGATTTACGAATGGGACATGAATGGTAAATATCAATGGGGTATAATATTGGGATAATATACCCTCTGGTAAACTAACAGTTTGCTATTGAACATGGCCATAGACATAGTGGATTTACCCATTAATAGCATGGTGATTTCCCATCGTTTTTTGTAAACGTTCACCAGAGGGTACATGAATCGCATTTGCCATAGAACCATAGCGATCGAAACCAGGCTATGGGGACTCAACCATCAGAATTTGGTAAGCCACGTAAGCCATCGCCATTTGGGAGAATGTGTACTCATTTACGCTCTGGTAAACTAACATAACTATGGAAAATCACTATTTATAGTTGATTTACCCATAAAAAATGGTGATTTTCCATAGTTATGTTAGTTTACCAGAGGGTAACTATACACAATGTATGGTGATATTGGGATGTACTGTATTACTCTTTGGTTTACCCTCCTGTAAGCTGTAAACTCATATAGCCGTGACAATGTAGATCTCCAAGGGAAACCCGAGGATCTGCATAGAAATTTGTTGGTTTACTGGAGGGTGCCAAAGTACTTGGGGGTTCAGTTCCACATATTGTTTTTTCTACCCATAACTATCGGACCCCCATCTCCCAACTCATGGAGGTGAACTCATCAAGGTTAAGTAATTGCACGCCCAAGTGAGACCATTTCTGGCGCACTTCAGAAGACCATCAAGTCCCCATCCACCAAGCACCTGGCGCGTGTCTCCAGCTTTCATGGCGAATCTCAGATTCTCCTCATGTCTGTCATTTTCTTTGAAAGCTGATTTGTCGATGTTCCCATCAATTTCAACAGAGTAAGTTCAGTAATCAACTCCCACCAAGTGTCAAATCAATATCCTATTTTGGAGGTTCAAGCCCCCATCATTCTGTAATCAAACGAGTGAAGTCAGAATCCTTTTAAACAAGTTTTACCTTAAGGTAGGATAGGAGAACCATTTTAGTAATGGTCATGAAACATAGGTAGTCACATATTTTGGTAATCCAAGTGTTTACCCTGCGGTCATCATCGAGGCTTCATCGTTGGATGATGGGAACAGTCCCGGCCGGGGCGAGGAGGAGTCGCTCCGGAAATTGTCAGTGACCGGAATTTCATTCCTTGGAAATATATTTATATAATATTTATATATAATTATATATATACACGTATAATATATATATATATAGTAAGACAATGATGATAATTTTTATAAGCATGAAAAATAGGAATAGGGTGGTCTCATGGAGATTTAATGGGATTTAGTGGAGATTTCATATGTAACCCCTGGTAATCTTACAATTTGATATGGAAAAATATTTATAAATCGCGGATGTAACCTCAGGTATGATGTGCGATTGGGGTCTTGTCACACCATTTAGGGTAACGTCCCTATACCTATAACTACGTTGGCTCAAGATGTCAAAACACGGCTGAGCCGCCAAACCCATCAGCCGTACACTCTAACCAACTGTTCATTCTCTCTGCCATTGGCCTCTTTCTTTGCTGCTGCGGACTTCGCTGCTTCGCGCTTTAGCTAGTTGAATCTTGGCTTAAAGGCAGGTGGTCCATGGCCAGGGGTTTTTCAGGGGCGGCAATATTAACAGCTAAGTTTAAGAAATTGGCTAAGGCCACCTTCAGAGGTGAACACGCTCCTAAGTCAGCAGCGTTATCTTCATCAGGTTTGGAAAGGTTGCGTAGGGTAGCAGAAAGGGAAGTCCGTAACGCGCTTACTTCAGTTTGAACAAACCAAAGGAGCGAAGTGGCCTTGGAATAGGGGGGCTCGTAGTCTTGTGAATG